CAAAGCAAGGAATGAATTCCCTGCTTCCCATGGGCAGGTGGGTGCTCAGCCATCCCCAGGAGAGCAGGGCCCCATCACACCTCAGGGTCACTTGGGAACACAAACGCCATCGCTGCAAACGTCCTCCCCTTCCTCCTTCCTCCTGCCTTATGTACCGAGTGTGATGTTCCATCGTCTGGAATGTCCCTGTGGTCAGTGGGGTCACCTGTCCGGGTCACCTGTGTCTCCTCCCAAGCTCCCCCAGCCTGGCAGCACAGAAATCAGGAAAGGCCTTGGCTCTGTGTAAGCCCTGCCCAGCAATAACAAAAGCATCTCCACATCATCATCGCTGTGTTCAGCACAAATATAAAACACAGTCCCGTGCCAGCCATTGTGAAGAAAATTAACTCCACACCAGCCAAAACCAGCATAAATTACTAGAAAAATAAATTACGTGTTGGAAGAATTGCCTTGTTAAACTTTTGGGCTTGGTGTGCTTCAGTGATCTCAGACCTGATGGGGAGAGGGTGGTGTTAAAAAAGCTTGGAAAGAAGGATGTCCTGCTGATAGTGGGTAAAAAGAATGCAGAATTTCCAGACCACAAGGACATTTGGCAGAGCTCCTACGATAAGGAAGAAACTAACAAAGCCAATTCAGCGACTGTGCTGAAATCAGCTCCAACTGGGTGAAATGTAATTCTGGTAGAGGGAGATTGTAACCACCAACTCATGGCCCCCTGACTCAAAAGAAGGGAAAGACTGAGTATGTGTACTAATTAGCACAAGAAGAGAGGGACTCACTTTACCAATAAAAAATAGAACACTAAGTAGTAGGAGAACTATGTAACTTGTAGCCAAGGAACAATCATACCTTTGCTAAAATGTGTAAGGAGTGAAATCTTTTGATAGTGGATTTGCCACCCAGCATGCCTTTCTTTGCAGAACTGTAAATAAATAGCTGACTCTGAGTGTGGATTGGCCTCTCTTACACTGGGTGTAAGAACCTAATTTGGCACAACATGCTGATGGAACACATGCCTTGTTACATACATGTGTTGCCATCAAAACACCCAGAGGTTGCATTCAAGTGCTGTGGCTCTTCTGGGCTTGGAAACACCCTGTCTTCTTTGACCTCTTAATTTTTTTTTTCCAACCAGGATTCCTGTTTGTCTGGATTTGGGTTAGATCTTTACATTTCTCTGGGATTTCTGCAGTCCAGGCCTGTGAGAGCCAGCTGGTCAGGAGTTTTAGATACAGTTACATAGCAAGAAACCTGCCTATTGAACCAACCCATAGCTGACAAAAATTGAAGTCAACAGCATGAAAATGATAAATTCTGGGTTTTGGGGTTTTTTTCCTTTATTCATTTATCCACTGTATTCTTTCTCCACAACTTTTCTGTCAGCTGGAGAGGTGCTTTGGTGTGCTGAACTGCAGGATCCCCCTCTCCACAGAAGATGAGGAAGATTCTTTTCCTAGTGACATCCAAACCCTGCAGGACTCTTGGTCGCTCCAAGAAGAGCTCAGTCTCCCATGCCTTACATTTGTCATGAGCTATTTTTACCCTTGGAACACATTACAAGTATGTTGACAAGTACTATGGTTATGGTCAGTTCTTTCCTCCACCCCCAAATTCTTCCAAGTGGAATAAAGCCATCAGCCCCAAAACGTGCTGAACTTAGTTTGAACTCTGGACAAATGTTGAACTATCCTTATGAATACATGCAGTAAGTATTTGTCAGCAGCTGAGGGGGCACATACTCAGCAGAGGGTCAAATAATTCAGATCTGTTTCCCAAGGGATTTTTAGGGCTGAAGCCCTTTGGAACAGGCAGAATGTTCCAGAGCAAAGTGCCAGGCCAGCATTCTTTAGGAACAATCACTCTAGGCATACATCAAACTCAATCACTCTTGTACTCATGGAAAAAGCTGGCTCCCACTTTAAGTTTTAGTGAGAAGGGGGAAAAAAAACCCCTCATGTATGTTTTCTTCCCAAATACCTGATTCCTTGAGGCGCTACTGTTCACTATATAGTTTTGTATTTCTTCAATAAAAACACAGGTTCCTGTTGGACCTGCACAGATTCATTGAGGACACTCCAGAGCTTCACATACCCGATCAGTGTGTGGCATTCCAGCTGGGAATGCTGAGCCTCAGAGCCACAGCTAACAGGAATGGTGAGGCTTGGCCACAGAGCACATTGTTCTGTGGCAGCTGCCTCCAAACAAGCTAGCTGCTGGCTGCTTGTTTGGAGGGCTGAAGAAGGAGTAGAGAGTGCACATGAATGCCAGCATCTGAAAGTGGGACAAAATTAGCACTGGCTCCTCCAGGAAAATTCACCACTCATGGGGAACAGCTAAATTACTTTTAGGGATTATGTTATCTGCTCACATCTTGAGGTTTTCCTTTCCAGCTGAGATCTCAGATAATCAGAGGGTTGAATTACTAATGCGACCACTGTCTCATTTGCATGAAATTAACCTTTAGAATACATTCGGAATCCTCTTTGTCTGCTGTGAGGATTTGTGAAGCATACAGCACTAAGCCAATAATTTTAGAAATTTCAGCATTACAGAGTTTATGCCAGCGTGAGAGTTCCAATTTGCATGTTTGAAAAGGGGCAATATGTATCATAATGAGTGTTCACATCAGTTAATACTGGGTATGTTTGTTATTTTGGTATGTTCCACTTCACAACCCCAGATATTTTGCACAATTTGTGTATAGCCTGAAAGTGTGGTTCCTTGGGAGGGACTTGCTGACCAGAGAGTTTCCCTCCATACCTCCTGGAATGTGCTCCTGCTGCTACTTCTCCTGTGTTCTCCTGTGTTGTCTTCAATGAGCTAGTTCAGTCATTAAAAATCTGCTTAGAAAAGAAAAATGGATATTTTTCATGAAACAGTTTTGCAAGACACACAATAGATCTCTGCTTCCAAAAGTTCACAATTCCATCATGATTTTCCCTCATCCAGCCAAGAATTTGTGCCACTCACTAGGCTGCCTTTGGTATTTGCAGGACCTTTACCTGAGCTGATGCAATTCACTAAAATGGCACAAAAAAGGCTTGTTCAAAAAGTTTGGTAATTTTCTGTTGGTTTAGTGAGTTACATTGGGCAAAGGTCCATGAAGAGCCAGGACAAGGAAGCTGTAGTGAGACTAGATGTGTGGAAGCCTGAGCTGCTCAGCCACCCTGATAAATCCTACCCTGAGAGAGCTGCTGGGAGCATCACTGTCAAGGACAGCCCACAGAACTAAAAATAAACATAGCTGCAACACGTATTAAAGCAAAGTGGGGGGCTTGGTTGTGAGCAAAGCCTTCACATAAGCTGAAGACTAAGCAAGGCCACAAGAAATTTTAATCTGGCACAATAAAAACAGTGCTGTGATTCCTGAAATCAGTCCAGTTCAGGAAAGAGAAAGGAAAGGGTGTAAAGTTCTTTTATTCATAAGAAACAGATGCCTGTTAATGAGACTTTCATTCCTTTAATAAAGAGACTTTTCACTCCCATTCTTGTTCATATTCTGTTGTTTGTGTGGAAGAACCACTGGATATTTTCCCCAGAGATGGGATGGTACCTTGCAAATTAGCAATAATTTTCTTGCTCCTTATATTAGAAAATTTCAGGTCTCAGTTACTACATTATCATATATTTTCTTCTGATTTAGGACAAGGCATCAGTCTTTTAACCTTTTATGCTGATTTGAAAATTCATTGAATATCTTCAAGAGGAAGAAAACATTTATATTCAGTACCTTTGTTTGCTATGGGTTGTACCTTGGGTCATGATTACAGAAATATTTTATTATAGTCAATCTAAATTATAAGTCAACAAAATGAAAAACATATAACCATAACATGTTGTTTTCTAAGACAGAGTAAAAATACTGGTCCATTTTTTTTAAAAAAGGTAAAAAATACTATGATGATATTTTGATTGTGCTAAACAAATTATAATGGAGCATTAGACCGTTTAAAATACTGTTACTATATAGAGGAAAAACCCTGGAAACATTTCTTTGGAAAAAGCAAGAATTGTACATATATTTGTTCATAAATAAACAAGAACAAACCTCACAGCTGCTAATTCAATTCATATTCCTGGAATCAGCCTGTAAACAAATGCTTGTATTTTTGTTTTGGAGGG